TAACCATAGGTACTGTATTCCTTCAAGGTAAACAGCTCCAGAATCCCAGAAAGGGTAGTGTAAAAATTGGAATAAAATACATATTTTATCCAAAATAACTTCATCAAGATAAACCAGCTGTCAAATCTGAGAAGTCAGTAACCTTTGTTTTACTTCCTGGCATTTCTGACTTTCTTCACTCCTGGATCTTCTTCTCTCCTCCATCCTGTACCTCCACCCTCTAGACATTTATCTTGTGTCAACCCCTGAAAGACCTTCCTTTCAAACTAAGCCGTCAGCTGATAACTACAGATCCTTTCACTTTAGGATTTAATACCTGCATGGAGTATTTGTACTATATTAGAGGGTGCTAAGGAAATCACAAGGCTTTAAAAACTCAGAGAAGTATTAATAATGGCAGAATGATCAACAATGAAGTCGGCCTTTTGAGTTGGAGCCCTAACTGGCATCCCCTTGAATCATGACATTTGGATGAATTCTTGTCACGTATACAGCTGTTTCTAAGAAAATAGCCCAGTTCAGCAATTGTTGTACACCTGCCTTGAGCTAGATGCTATGGTAGAACAAAGCAACTAATACTAAATATAGAAGGAGGCCAGAAACCGTATGGGAAGATGGGAAAGACTGTTGTGTTGTGAGCCTGGACCAAAAATTATGCTGTAAATTTATCCCTGAGCTTCCTGCTTGCCAAGGCAAAAAAGGGTAATAGGGAATTTACTTTACATTTTCTAATAAAAGGAAATATTGGAAATTCCTTCAAAGAAACCATCTGTTTTTCTGGTTCTGTGTATTAGAAGGAATTTTTTGGGTATAAGGGAGTTCCTTTAGGTGCAGTTTTATATAATACATAAAAATGTTCTTCAAATGGCTAGTTTTCATTAAACGGTAAGGAAAGCCAAAGAAAGAATATTAACTAAGCTATTAAAGACATTTACGTTGGGTCCTAAGCTAGTGTGGTCCACGTATGTGGCTTTTCTGTAGTCTAGCTTAAGTGGGAATAGAACATAATGGCTAAGAATGCTGGAATGCCAACTTTAGTGATTAGAATTCCTTTTCTTAAACTGGACCCTCCACATTTTTATTTGCATTGCTGCGATAGCCTCTTAGTTGTTTCTCTGCCTCTAGGCTCTCTGTCCTCCCCTTTCCCGCTTTGTCTTCCCAAACCCATCATTCACACAGCTGCCAGTATGACCTTTCTAAAATATAACTCTGATGTCACTCCCCTGTATAGAGTGTGTCTGGGGTTCTCCATTGTTTGTAGGATGAACTCCAAGCACCAATATCTTCTGTAACCTGCACCTCCCTCATCTTTCAGTGTGCCTCTCCTTCAACTTCAGCCATACCATACACCTGGCAGTTCTCTGAATGTGCCACACTTTACACTCTCCCTCAGGGTGATGTTCAGAAGGGTAGATAACCTGTATGACCTGGGCATCACCGAGCAGAACAGATGCCACCCTGCCCCAATGCTTGGGCAAGGTCCTGCAAGGCCCCCTGATGTGCCAGACATTACCCTTTAGTGTTAGGATCATGAGTATGCCCTGGGGCAAAGCTGGGATGGGAAGATTGGGAGAAACTTATGGGGCTTGAGAAAAATGGCAGATTGCCAATTGGTATAAAAGGGTGGTAGTAATGTCAGAACCTGTCTAACTTCAGGGGGGATGATGAGAATCAAGATCAGCATAAAGCTGATCCCTATGAGGTGGAGGTCAGACATAGCTCTACTCTCTCACTTTTCTACCAATTCTGACACACTAGCCGTCCTCCCCATAGCACTCTCTACTTCTCTGCTGGGTTTGATAATTTGTTGCAAGGGCCACAGAGAACTCACAGACCATACTTACTTACCACTTAGTTAAGTGGTTTATTCAGGAACAGGGTACAACTCAGGATCAGAATCAACAGGGTACAACTCAGGATCAGGATCAGGAAGCACGCAGGCCAAGTCTGGAAGGCTCCCCTGAAGAGGAGAGCACATCCCTCCCCTCTTTGGTGCAGGACAGCTCTCTCAGCTCCTCTAGGCCATTCAAACAAGCAGGCCCTTCTCTCTGCCATGCAGCCCCCTGAAGACAGGCCTGTCTGCCTTCGACCTCCCTTTCGTTGGCTTCTCCACTGCTAACTGACCCAACTCATAGGCGGTGTAGCAGTTTTGTTCAGCGTTCTTAGCAGCACTGCTAGTAGCACGTTTCTGCCATCACCATCGGCTGTGCCACAGGGCCTCTTTCGGGCCTGTCACTGCCAGCTCTGCCACTGGGCCCCTTTTGGGCCTCTCAGTGTCCTCAGTGTTACAGCTCTCAGCCCGTGTTACAGCTCTTTTAGGAGGTTCCTTGCCTCCTCTCTCTCTGCTTCTTCTCTCATCTTCCTTCCTTCTGCTTCTATCTGCTTTCTTCTTTCTGGCTACTCACCTCTGTGGGGTTGGCAGCATATATAAGCAAACTCCTCGTCAATTTCAAGGCATGGCCCTCCCACCAGGGGGCCACGAACTGACCAATCCCCTCTTGGTAGGCCACAGACATTTCATTTGCCGAGTAAGGTAGAGTCACGTCATTTGCATAGCATATTGACCAATCCCTGCAAGGTGCATACCAATCCTAGGCAGGCTGCAGCCCAGGGCCAGACGAAAAGTATCAGACCATAAGTTGTTTACAGTGTACACAAGAAATGTCAATCAACCTAGACAAAGTAACAAACCCTCTGGGGTAGAAAACTAGGGCAAAGGTAACTCCTCAGGGCTTGGGGAAAAATCTCTCAAGCTGTTTTTCCAAAGAACCAAGGCAAAGGGCCACATAAAGGAACTCATTTCACCACAATTGGTAAAGAAGTATTTCAGTATTTTAAAACCCAGAATGGTTGCCTGAGTGGTACACCAGTTGAAACAGCCTGTTTCTTCCCTGTCTCCTTGATACTCACTCTTAAAGACTCAGCTCGAGAGCTATTTCCTTTAGGAAGCCTTTCCTGACCTCTCAGGCGTATCATTGTTCCCTTCCTCCATTGTGTGAACACTATATCCTATGCTTGGTCCCATCCGAATACCTGTATCTCTCTTTTGCACAATTTTGCTGATTTATCTGTATCCATCCACTAGACTGTGAACTCCATAAAGTCATTGCCCATGTCTGAGTCATCTCTCTATCCCAGCACTTAGCATAACACCTGGCACATAGGAGGTACCCAGTGAGTGTTTGTTGAATGAGGATGTATATTAAAAATCCTGTACCCTGACAGATAAGGAAGATCTTTTCCAGCAAGCATACTCAATAGGTATGAAATCTACCCCTTATGCTAGTGTGTTGGTGTCTTGTTTCCTAGTGCTGCTGTAATAGAAATACCACGAGTGGGTAACTTTAAAGAACAGAAATTTTCTCATAGTTGTAGAGGCTAGAAGTCCACATTCAGAGTGTGGCTCTAAAGGAAGGTCCTTCTTTTTCTATTTCAGCTTCTAGTAGCCTTCAATCCTTGGAGTTCCTGGGCTTGTAGATTCATCTCCCTCTGTCATCATCAGATAGCATCTGTCCGTCTTCCCCCATTTGTGCTTGCTTGTCTCTGCTTCTATGCTACTCGTTGTAACTCAGAAGTGATTAGGTTTAGGACACAGCCTACACTGAGAGGGCCTCATTAACATAACAAAGAAAACCTTCTTTCTGGACAGGATCCCATCCACAGGTACAGGGGTTAGAATTCCAACATATTTTTGGGGAGCACAATTCAATCCATAACAGTGATGTTATCAGTTAAGACAACTAGAATAAGAATAGCAGCTTATAGCATTTCCCTGTCTTTTCACTTCTGAAGCCTCAAATTGGGGGAAAATATTCAGTCCGTCAACCAAAGGACATATCACGCATTCTGGAAGTTTCTCAACTATACCTTTCCAAAAAACAAAGATCATTGCCTGATAGACTAGAACTTTATTTTGGTAACCTGTATATAAAGGAAGGGCATAATTTATCAGACCACTCTTTTTCTAACACCCCTTGTTCTCACAGGGCAGTGGGCTCCTTCATCCTAACTTAATGTTTCATCCACTGTTTTATCTCAAGTGTCTAGAGCAGTACCTGGATTATTGTAACTATGTAGTAAATGTTTGCTGAGTGAGCAAATTCAAGTTGAAGATGAGAAAACATGGCCAAAAAAAACAAAAAAATCCAAGCTTTTCTTGAAAGGTCATGAGCCTTGATTTTTATCCTTTCTGGGATGAACTTATGTCTAGGTACGTTGCCAATGGCCAGGTCCCAGCCACTGCCTGGGGAGATAGGAAACATGGGCTTTTGGCTGGCAATTCCAGGTGGAGGCAAGAGCAGAGCCAGCCACCAGTTCCTCAAAGGAGAAAGGAACAGGATGTGGCAGCAGCAGCAGCTTGAGTGACAATAAAAATCAAACCCAGACACTTGGAACAACACATACCCAAGACTGTGCTCCACCTCCAGTGATTCACCAAACTGAGCAAGAGCTTAAAAGGAGTCCTAGAACTACATGAAGTAGCCCAATTGCTTCCTTCCTTGGCTTGCTTTCAACCAGAGGTGCAATGTCCAGAAAAAGGTGGTTTGGATTGCTTTTAAACATTTACCCGTTTGCTATTTCAGCTCCACAAAGCGCCTCAAGTCTGTGGAGGATGAAATGGACAGTCCTGGTGAAGAGCCATTTTATACAGGCCAAGGGCGCTCCCCAGGAAGTGGCAGTCAGTCAAGCGGATGGCATGAAGTGGAGCCAGGTAAGCAGGGTGGCAATGGGATGTGGCTAACACTGTGCAGTTGAAAATGCACATGGGGTTCCATAAGGGGCATGCAAGTCAAGAAAGAAAGCTCGGGGAAGTTTACTTTTGCAGTATGAACACTTGTTTGTATTGTACTCTGATTGCCACCTTTATAGAAGGGTGACTGTGACTGTACCAGTACCAGTTGCTGCCGAGTTGATTTCAACTCATGTCAACCCCATGTGTGTCAGAGTAGAACTGAGCTCCATTGGGTTTTCAATGGCTGATTTTTCGGAAGTGCTCTACTTTTCTTTTCTTCTAAGGTGCCTCTGGGCAGTCTCCGCCAACCTTTTGATTAGCTGTTTAGTGCATTAACTCTTTGCACCATCAGAGACTCCTAACTAGGTTTTTGGTTTATTATCTTTTAGTGATAGTAATAATAATCTATCAAAATTTGCAACTGGATTGATATTGTTAGAAAGGAGAATGGGCTACACTTTATACCGGGATTTTTATAAAATGAGGATACTTTGTAATCTTTTTTCTGTTACTGGGTATCAACATTTTTTTTCCCCTTTTTAATGGAACTACTATCTTTACGTTCATCTTTACTGAACAAATGATAACTGCTAGTCTAACTTCCTATGGTAGACTAGTCTGGGCTCGGGAGTCTTGGAAGGGAATGTAAATAATTCTGATAGCAGAAGCTTTGTGAAACCTTTTTCGATGTATAACTTCCACATGGGTAGGGGGGAGTGTTGTCCAGTGCAGAGTCAGGTGGGTACAGAAGACAGAATGTGGGCTTTGGAATCAGACAGACTGTAAGCCTGCCTCCAGCTTCTGCTGGCTGTGGGATTGTTGGCAAATTACCTAAACTCTCTGAGCCTAAGTGGCCCCATTTTTATAATCTGACAATAATAACAATAACAGCTATTTCACTATTCTTGGGGATTAAATGAGGTTAACATACATAGTCTATCTATGAGGCAACATACATAACCCCTCTAAGAATTATACCAAGGATGGTGATGCAGTGGTTAAGAGCTCAGCTGCTAACGGAAAGGTTGGTAGTTCAAACTTAACCAGCTGCTCCGCGGGAGAAAGACCCAGTGATCTGCTCCTGAAAAGATTACAGGCTAAAAAACTATGGGGCAGTTCTGCTCTGTCACATGGAGTTGCTATGAGCTGAAATCAACTCGACAGCACCTAACAACAAAAACAAGAATTATACCTAATATAGAGCAAGTATGAAAAAAATGTTTTCTGTCTTCCCCTACCCACGCCTCAGAGTAATTCCCTGCAAGAACAGACAAGCACCAAGAAAATATATGAACTAACCCCATCATCTTCGTATCTTAATTCCCTCTTCTCCTCCCTAACATGTCAAAAGACAACCCTCGGAGAGTGTGATTATAAAGAAATAGCAAGAAAGAGGTACTTGGGATGATGAAACTGCTCTGTATCCTGATTGCGGTGATGATTACATGAATTTATACAAGTGTTAAAATTCATGGAAGTGTACGCCCTTCACCACACACAGGCACAAAAAAGTCGCTTTTACTGTATGGTAATGGAAAACACACCTCAGGCCCTACTGGCTGGATCCTTTATGTTGCTTCCTTCACTGAAATGCAGAAATTTCACTTTGCCTGGCTGCTCCCTAGTAATCCTGTCACTCATCTCATCTCATTCATTCAACAATTTAATTGGATCCTTTCTCTGTGTGAGGCACTATGCCAGGTTCTTGGAATTCGAAGACAGATAGGAAGGCTATGGCCGCTGATTTCAGGGGATCCACAATCAAGGGTGGGATGCAGACACATAAACAGATCATTACACAATGGTGGGGGAAATGCAGAAATGGCGATATTAAGCCTCTGGCACCTTCTTTTTCTAATTACTACCAGCACAACAGTCAGCTGTGATGATTCCTCTATCAAGGTCCTGCATCAGCTTCACTCCACACTCATACTCATGCCAGTTAGCCTAGAGTTGCTAAGAAACCTAGCCTAAGTGAAAACGAAAATGCTGACTGCTCATGGCCATTAACTGCATCATCAGCATGACCTCAGCATAGTGCCAATGAAAAGTTTATGTGCTATTAAAAAATTAAAAGATGTAAAATTTCTTTGAACCCTTTTTAAAAGGCTAATTAGAGTCCTAGCCAATCTACTTGCATCAAAAAAATCCAACCAAACCAGTTGCCGTCAGGTCAGTCTGACTCATGGCGACCCCATGTGTGTCAGAGTAGAACTGAGCTCCACAGGGTTTTCAAGGCTGTAATCTTTGAAAAGCAGATCACCAGGTCTTTGTTCCAAGGTGCCTCTGTGCGGGTTCAAACCTCCAACCCTTGGGTTCGTAGTCAAGTGCTTAACTGTTTGTGTCACCTAGGGATTCTTACCTGCTTCAGTGAGAGTCAAAATCAAGATATGTAAGTTTGGTACCTTTGTGCTCAAGTATTGTACTGATGCATTTTTACACACATTGAAGCTGCTTTATTATGTTGATGTGCAGGAAGCTCCTCTAACACTAGATGTTCTCTGGAAATCTCCTAAGTAGATTTCTTTTGGGGGTGTTTGGGGGTAGTAGGGTTGGTTGAAAATAAAGTACTTTGGCCTAGTGATTCTTATTCAGCATAATGTCTTCCTATTCCCATCCACACATGATTTAAATGATCATAAATTTTAGTATCTGAGTATCTGTATCCTTTGCACTTATTAAATAGCTAATGTTTAATGGCTGAATCTTTTTTGGGAGGAGACCAGATATGTATATTTATATATACATATATATGTGTGTTTGTGTGTGTATATATATATATACACACACATATGTATGTATAGTCTTCTTAAAGAAATCCCCCACAACTGTATTCCCAGACTGATTCTGCATTCTCTACTCCCATTTCATTACCGAAAAATGCAGTTTCATGTATACGTACGTGAGGAGTGGGAAGGACAGTGGATAAATGTACGTTTGGCCATATTCAGCATAGAAAGTCATAATTGAAACAGGGCCTGAGGGGACATTAAAACTCAACTGAAGGATATTGCACATGTTCATGGTGACTTTGGTGTCATTAACTCACACCAGCCATTTTAAATGGATAATTTATGCTGCCAGATGGTCCTTTTTGGGGATTTTCCATCAAGCCCAATCCCCTTTTTGGCACAGAGAACACCTTTCTGTTGTTCCCACACTTAACCGGGCCTGCATAGCTTTTCCCCAGGGGTCCAGTTGATTGAGTAGGAGGCTTTTAGTGGTTCACTCATGTAAATTACCTTCAGAAATATGTTGGGAGTTATGTATATCTGAATGCACTGGGCAACGTCTTGGTTGCCTACGTTGGGATAATGTTCTCAAACAAGTACTAAAGGATGCTTCGTTTATGCTTCAGATGTGACACGGGAAGCAAGGCCTCTACTTACTCCTTACTCACAGACCCTTGCATCTGTTTACCTGCCCCCAAATGCTTTTTCAGGACTCCTCGGCCAAAAGAAGGCCGAAGGTTGCCAGAAGAGACAAATCTCCTTGAGCAACAGGAAGGCTTTGGAAAGTAAAACAAACCAGACATGCAGTAAATTACATGGGCTCTTTCAAACGTCTTTTGTAGTATCCTGTTCCCCGTTAGTTTATCTCAGCACTTTCAGTGCACAGCTTGTATTATCTGGGAAGAAGGGCATAGGAGATTAAAGATGATGTTAGTTTAAAAAAAAAATCAGACAACCGCAAGCTGACTTTTGATTCTCTTACAATGCCTCATTTGTTCCCTCCGCTTAGTTTCGTTTTCCAGTTATCGCAAAACTGGGTTAGATTTGAAGCTTTGAAGCTAATCATGCACTGATGAAATGAGTCCTCTGAAATTCCACCAAGCAAAATGGAACATACCATCAACACTTGTTTATCTGTACAAATGAAGAATTGCAGAGAACTGATAATGCAAATAAATAGGAAGGAAACTACTAATGCAAATAAATACGAACGCAAGTGCTTACACTGGGTCAGACGCTGTGCATGGTGCTATCACATACATGGTAAAAATTATAGTTACAATTATTTGAGTACCTACTGTGTGCCAATAGTTTTTAGTACCCTCATTTAAAACATGCTAGATAGGATCATTTTGCTTTTATAGAGATGAAAACTAAGACTCAGAAAGGTTAAATGACTTGCCCAAGGCCTCACAGATAGTAAATCAGTGGATTTGGAAAATTTAAACCAAAATCTGATTTCAGAGTATAAGTTTCATCTTCTATGTTTACAAACCTCTTTTGCCATAAATGATATGCTTGTATCTTAAGGTTTCATATCCTGGTCTTGTACTTAAAATTTTTAAAGTAATAAAACTAAGAAAGAACTCATCCGGAAGACCAGAGAAATCTCTGTTACCCTCTCCCAACCCCTTGCCGTGCATTATTTACAACCTAGGGCAGCATAGGAATATGGGTACTAAATACACGTAGGACACAATACATAAGCAACTAGTATTAACTGTTAACAAAATTTAGTATTATCAAGGAGCCCTGGTGGCACAGTGGTGAAGCACTCAGCTGCTAACCAAAAGGTCGGTGGTTCAAACCCATCAGCCACTCCAAGGGAGAAGGATGTGGCAGTCTGCTTCTCTAAAGATCACAGCCTTGGAAACCCTATAGGGCAGTTCTCCTCTGTTCTATAGGGTTGCTATGAGTTGGAATGGATAGTTTCCCCATAAAATTAAAGAATGCTCAGGTTTCGGGTCTTTGTTCAAGTAACACCCAAACTAAAATAGCCGCCAACTCTCTCCCCATCACCCTATCATCCACAGTCCTGCTTTACTTCCCTCATACCACTATCTACTGTTAGTGTCTCTCTTCTCTGTCAAGAATATAGACTCCGTAAGCACTGGGACTTTGTCTTTTCCACTGCTGTATCCCCAGCACCATAACAGCATCTGACACATAATAAAAACCAATCACAAATGATCAACAATTACTCTAAAGCACATGTGAGAGGGTAAGGGGCCAGGGAAACCAGATTAC